CCTCAATGAAATCGAGTTTGACACCCCCGATCTAAGCGCATCCCTATACAAAAAGTCCTTGACTTACAACCTCTCATTTAGAGACTGCTCGAAATTACAAATGGCACTAAAAAAAACTAACTTATGATACTTTTTCCACGTTTGATGTTTGCGGCATCCCTGGGGGGTTTACGTGATCAAAATTCAAATACTTGTCACCCAGCCTCTGTGGTGGTCGGAGTGTCCCATGATCATCTTTTGGCGAACTTTTTTTAAAGAAAAGTTTTTTATTTACTTATAAAGTATCTTGAATGCAGTGTATTGCTCGGGCACTCCATTTTACAGAAGAAAAAAAAGAAGAAAAAGTAACCGATATACTGATAACGAATAAAGATAATGCAACAGAATAATTCTAACCATATTTATAATTACGTTCGCTTATTTATGATCTTATTTTGGCAACCCTCTGACAAGCAAAGTCAACAGGAAAGTCAGATTCACTTAACGACCTTGTTACTAACTTTAACAACTGCAGTGACTCACTTAAAAAAACTCTGGCAGGAAAAGTCGTAAAATGGGACCAAAGTCACTTAGCTGATTGTCTTGCTTAGCGAAGGAAATCTGGGGTTCAGTTTTGGTTGTAAGTCGAGGACTACCTGTACGGTCATTTTCCCACAAGTAATCTAGAACTTTGGTCTTTCAGAGAAGGTTCTCACACCGTTATGGCCACCAGATGGACATTTTTGGACCACAGGCTGTGGTCCCTAGCAACAAACTCTAACCGTCAGAAGTAGCAACCCTGGGCCTTGCAAAATACAGTATTGTGGTACATATTTTGGGAAACAGAGTGATCCCGCTCTTGGGAACAGACAGTGAATCCATCATTCTCAAGAGCATACCTTATTAAAAAAACACTGAGTCATATTTTGATGAATTTTCCCACGTTTCTCTTCTAAAATAGCAGAATAGGGCACACAGCATGAAAACCACCGATTGAGAACAGTCTGTTAGGAACAAAACTTACTATTCCGTTTCCGTTTCCGAGCGGCTTTCAACTCTTTAGGAAAAACTCTTCGGTCTCCCTCCCCCTCTGGGATTTTAGGTAAATATCAAGCCTGTATTTTTAATCATTAGTAGCTGCAGCATTTCTCTGCCCTAGCTTTTCATGTGGAAACAACAGTGTTCAAGAGTCATGCTTCAGTGGTTATTAGTACTTGCCAGAAGAGAAGAAAGGAAATTATTTATAGACTATTGATGATTTTTTTTTTAAAAAAAAGTTGTTGCTAGGAAGTCCAGGCGTAAGCCAGAGACAAAGGATTTATTGTAAATGGATATTAGTCCAAGTACAATCGTTCTGAAAGGTAAATAAAACTATGTTCTTGCCTTATCAATACTGTTGGTCAACAAAACTGTTATCATTCCTGGCCCAGCATAGGTTTTCTCTAAAAAAAATATTGATCTTAAAAAAAAATCACTGACCTGACAATTTACTTTAAAATTGATTTAAGAATATATCGGAGCACATCTCAACAGTAATTATTTTCTTTTCTGGTTAATAATAATAACAACAACAACAACAACAACAACAACATCCTAGGCCCCTGAGTGGGGCCCGACTAGTAACCAATGCCAAATCCGGTGAAACAACTGGCCGCTGTGATACAATTGTATAATAATAATAATAACAACAACAACAACAACAACAACAACATCCTAGGCCCCTGAGTGGGGCCCGACTAGTAACCAATGCCAAATCCGGTGAAACAACTGGCCGCTGTGATACAATTGTATAATAATAATAATAATAACAACAACAACAACAGTAACAGTAACAGTAACAGTAACAGTAACAGTAACAGTAACAGTAACAG